AAACCTAGTACGGAAGGCTGTCTTCCACTCTTCCCCATCCCGGATGCGTACCAAGTTATATGCCCCCCACGCAGATCCAGCTTCGTGAAGCAGACCGTTGTCCTTAGGCTTTGAAACAACTCGGAACCAACAGTAGGGGGTAGCGGTTTTTAATGGTTACCCGATTTAATTCCCTATAATCCACACAGGGCCTCAATGTTCTGTCTTTTTTCTCCACAAAGAAAATACCCGCCCCTGCTGGTGAAGTGGAAGGGCGGGTGAACCTCTTCTGGAGATTCTATTCAATGTACTCCTTCAATACCCCCAATTCTCTCTCAGACAGTGGAAAGATACGACCAAAAGAGATCTCAGAACCTGGCAATAAATCGATGGGAAAATCATATGGTCGATGTGGGGGTAATGTGTCAGCCCCCTGTTTACTAAACACATCTAAATACCCGTGGTATGGTGCTGGCACAACCTGTCTTAAGCTAGCATCCTCCTCAGCACATAAGAGGATTTGGGGGCCCCCGGGGCCCCGAGGCATGGCAGTTTTCCTAACAATAGTCAGAGGAAAAACTAAGAGACCCGGTTTTCCAGTTGATCTGGGGGTTGTGGGCCTGCAGCCACGGGAAGCCCCAGAATCACTGGAAAAAGGGGTGACGCAATAGTGTCAAAATGTAAACAACTCCTGGTGGGAGCCAAATATGGTGGTGAGTATGGGAGGGGTTTCTTGGTCAACTAAACCTGATTTTATCTGAGAGCCATCAGCCAAGAACAAATTAAGCCCCCATTTCCTGGCCTGTAGCGGTATCCCCTGCTGGCGGGCAAAACCAAGATCAAGGAAGCAACTGCAGTCCCCCGAATCAATGATTGCAGTGGTCTCCACGGTTCTTTCCGGCAGCTGAAACAAGAGGGGTACCGCTAAGTAACTGGATTGACTTATGTTACTCAGAGACAAAGGAACTGTAGATCGTGACTTACGTGTCTTTACTGGGCAGTTCCGCACAGCATGTCCAGCTTCCCCGCAGTAAAAGCACAGGTTCCTGGCACGTCTTCTCTGGCATTCCTCGGGGGTGAGGGCCTGCCGAGCCAATCCCAGCTGCATAGGCTCAGAAGTGTCAGTGGGAACGGCTGGTGGAACATCAGCAGGAAAGGGGTGACCTGTGCCCCGGGAGGGTGTCCAAGTAGCTCCTTGACCCTGACCTGTCCTCTCAGAGCGGCGTTCCCGTAACCTGCGATCAATTTGTATCGCCAGGTCGATCAGATCCTTTAGGGACTCGGGGAGGCCAACCCGGGCTAACTCATCTTTAAGCCCTTCTGAGAGTCCGACCCGAAATTGGTGACGCAGGGCTGCGTCGTTCCAATGCGTGTCCCCCATCCATCGCCTGAACTCGGAGGCATATTCCTCCGCAGCTCGACGACCCTGTCGTAGGGCATAAAGGGTGGTTTCAGCCGAAGCTGCCCGTTGGGGGTCGTCATAGAGGTCCGACATGGCTTTAAAAAATGCGTCCAAAGTCTGCAATTGGGGGGCCTGCGTTTCCCTTAGTCTAAGAGCCCAATCCTGGGGTTCGTCTTGCAGCAAGGAAATTACAAATCCTACTTTGACCGACTCCGTGGTAAACGAACAAGGTTGTAAGTCAAAATATAAGTAACAGGCATGTTTAAATGTCCTAAAACATGCTCGATCTCCCCGAAAACGTTCAGGCATGGGCACGCGGGGTTCGGCTGGTGGAGCTGCAGCCGCAGCCCCTATGGGCGATCCAGAAGTTACCTCAACGTCAACAGCTAAGGCCTGGCTCTGAGGGGGATCCCCGGACACAGTTAAAGTGTCATGGTGGGGATGGACTTGGAGCGCTCCGGTACCAGGTCGCAGCTCCTAGGTATCTCTAACAGGGGTAGAGGAGTCTGACAGGAGCTCCAGGGGGCTAAGAGTCTGATGTGAGGAAGCCTAGTGATCCCTGCGGGATGGATGGATGGATGAGCTAAATCAGAGTCATACAGGCCGGGTCGGTAACTAGCGGGTCGGTGAGGTACAAAACGGTAGGCAAAGGATAGTCGGGTCACACGCAGGGTCAATACCAAAAGATCAGATTTAAAGGGGAACATCCAGGAGCAGAGTCAGGCAGGCCAAGGGTCAGGACAGGAGAAGGCAGCAAGGTCAAACAATCCAGATCAAGATACTCACAACACAGGTAACAGCATACAAAGACCATTCGGCAACAAGTGTTTGTGCAGAGCTGGTTTAATATAGCCCACCCTGCACCTGACAGGCGCAGCCTAGGTCCTAGGGTTATGCTTCTCTCCAGATGGTAATTGTGTCTGTCTTTTCTGCTGGCATGCGATATTACATACCCATGGTATAATTTTTGGAATAATCTCCTCAACGGAGTATAATCTATATGGTAATAATATATGCCTATATATAGCATGTGATATTTCATACCAATGGTATAATTTTTTGAATATACCTCCTTTGGGGAGTGTAACCAATGTGCAGTGCTGCAAATGCTTTAGACTATGGTGGTCATAGCCTTTGCAGCACATATATCTAGACCGGTCTTGGTGTGATTTTAATGGTTTTAGGTCTGTGTGTATTGTCTCATACTGAGGTGATGGTAAACCAGGGCGATTGCCCGTGTGTCAATCATTTATGTGTAATAAAGCATAATTTTTGGAAATGTTTCTGAGTATCGCATTCTGTTCATTATGTAGCCGCTTTTCTGTGAATCTCTTTTCACAAACCCTTTTTTGGTCTGCATGTTTTTTGGCTACTGGATGGAAGCCATATATTGGGTGATACAGTAATTTATACTTGAACCTCTAAAATTTATCTTTTACTAATTAGGTCCTAGTGCCTGCCTAGTACTGTCAAGACGACGGGTGCGCCTGGGTCCTAGTGCCCTGCCACCTACACGTCTTGGCAGACACCTACGTCTGTGTAGACCCATGCGTCGCGATGGTCCCTGACAGTGGCCATCCACCCTCTGGCCACCCCAGGCCCCCATGCTGGGGCATATATGCTCTTTTTTAACAGCGGAAAAAAATCTCATCCAACAGCGCTGCCCACACTTACTTATGTATATTCTGAGAGCAAGACCCTGTTGCTGTCAGAATAAACAGATTGGTGCTGCAACATTGTATAGAAAATAAAGAATTTTTAAAGGTGCTCAACAGACTTCAAACACTTAACATTGTACTAAAATTATAGAAAGCTTTATTCCATATTGTCATGTAAAACATCATATTAGTAGTCTTAAAAGTATAAAACCAACATGATACTTCATGTGGCTTGAAGTTCACAATGCAACAATTCCAACTCAACATGTTTCGCCAAATTTCTGTCTTCTTCAGGAATTTACAGACAGTTGCATGTACTGTAATTGCCACTAGAAAAAACTAAAATACAAACAATAAGCAACATGGTTTACAAGGTTACAAAAAATAATAACAGAGTCATCAATACAATGACAACACCAACTAAATATAGGTTTATATAGGGTTATCCTGCCAAGGCTGTTCTTACCAAGTGTATCTTGCTACATGGATCAAACCCAGCAAACAAGCATCCACTTCTACTGTATATCCCCAGAGGAGTCCAAGATGAACCAAAAAGAGGGAAAAGGATGCAACCCGCCAATGCAGACCTCCGTACTAACAAACAAATCAACATCTCAATACAGCATAAAAAAATAGGCAAAATGTCCCACACCTACCACAAAGAACTGAAGAGTCCAAAAAACACTTGTTGGCAAACTTATTCACCTCAAAAAATCCAATGTTTCATATCAGTAGCTGAATGCCTCAAGGCATACAAGAGAGACCCCACCAAACAGTCATAAGGACACCTTCAAGGAAACAAAGAAAGAAAGAAAGGAGGATAAGTAATCAACTCAAGAAAATGAGCTTAATGAACACCACAACGAAACAAAAATGTCCATCCTTACGCTTCCATACCATGTACTTGCAAGGTCACAAGAAAGCTGGGTGCAGCAGCCATTCAGCCAGCCAGGGATGGCTTATATATTCCCCTCCCCCCACCCTGCCAGTGATTACTGACCAGGTGCGGATGCCTGAAATGGGTCTGCACATGCGCACAAGCTTGCAGGAAGTGACATGTACAGCAGCACCTCATCTTGGAACATCCATTGCTGCCCTACCAGCACATAGAGTCCAAACATTGTTCGCCAAAGCGAACCAAGAGACTATAAAGTTGAAACCTGGCAAACAGGACCCAATAGAGTGTGCTACCCCGCAAAGGGACACAGAGGCACCCCCTCCTGGATAGCGCCCCCGTGTGCCGATGGTAATCTAAAGACTTTCCAAATATCCCTATTCGCAGATAGGAAAAAAAAGTGGGGAAAGAAGAAAATGGAAAAATATTGTATGTACAAAACATAGCAAATAAAATGACTCCATATTTGTTAAGGACATTACATCGAGCTGTACTTATGTACATTTGGTATCTACAGCGCCCTCACCTGGTGAACAAATTCCCCCTCAAGTAAACCAACAAAAACCACTATTAACAATAATATAACAATGAGTTGTATTTAACCACTTACCTACAGGGCACTTATACCACCTTCCTGCCCAGGCCAATTTCCAGCTTTCAGCGCTGTTGCACTTTGAATGACAATTGCGCGGTCATGCAACACTGTACCAATATGAAATTTGTATCGTTTTTTTTGTGACAGATAGAGCTTTATTTTGGTGGTATTTAATCACCTCTGAGTTTTTTATTTTTTCTTTAAAAGAAAAAAACCCACTGAATTTTTAAAAAAAAAAAACGTATTTTCTTAGTTTTTGTTATAAAATTTTGTAAATAAGTGATTTTTCTCCTTCACTGATGTGAGCTAATGAGGCTGCAATGATGGGCACTGATAGGCTGCACTGATGGACACTGATAGGTGGCACTGATGGGCACTTTTGAGGAGGCACTCATATATGGCACCGATAGGCGGCACTGATAGGTGGCACTGATAGGCAGCACTAACTGGCACTGATAGGTGGCACTGACTGGCACTGTTAGGTGGCACTTACTGGCACTGTTAGGCGGCACTGATAGGCAGCACTGACAGGCACTGATAGGCGGCACTGATGCACACTGATAGGCGGCACTGACTTGCACTGATAGGCGGCACTGACTGGCACTGATAGGCAGCACTGATAGGTGGCACTGACTGGCACTGATGGGTGACACTGAAATGCAGCTCAGATGGGCACTGATATGTGGCATTGATGTGGCACTGATGGGCACTGAAATGTGGCACTGATGTGGCACTGATGGGCACTGGCAGGTGGTATGGATGAGCACAGAGCTGGCACTGATGGACACTGACAGGTGGCGCTGCTGGGGCTACACAGATCATCAGGGCACACTGATCATCAGTGCTCTGATGATCTGTGTAGATGTCCATTCTGAGGAATGCCGATTACCGGCTCTCCTCTCCTCTCGAGCTGTCAGCATGACAGCTCGTGAGGAGAGAAATGCCGATAACCGGCAATTCCGTATTTACATGTGATCAGCTGTGATTGGACACAGCTGATCACATGACCAAGCCGACATCTTCGGCTCTTTCTGTAGATCGGTGATCCGCTGTGTCCGAGGGGCACAGCGCACCTCCGATCGCCACGCTGTGTGCTCCCGGAGCCGCGCATGAGAATATGACGTCCCCCCAGAATGAGAGAACCAAACAAGGATACCACTTATACGTGACAAAAGGATGATGCTAAGTCTCAAACTATCTTGCCACTGCACCCCATGTAGTATCTGGGGGGTTCCACGTGACTTGATTATCTTTTCACTCATAAATCCAAAACTTATATGTATAGCCTGTTGCCCTCTCACAGGTCTTATATATCTTGATCCCATATCTGGCATGTTTGCTGAGGAGAAATTGTTTGATTGCAAGGCGGCCAGAAAAATTCACAGATGTTTTGCTGGGGAGTATAGACACCTGCAAAATTTTGGTTAATGCGATTTAAAAGGGCCTGAATATTGTGAAGCCGGTCAAATTCAGGGTCACCCCAAGGATGATAGAGTGTATTGTCATTGAAATGCATAAATTGCATTATATTCTCATATCTATGCCTGACCATGGCAGCAGAGAACACGAGCATATGATGAATCGGGTCTGTGGACCAATACAATCGCAATTAATTTTTTTTAGTAATGCCCATGTTGAGGGTTAAGCCCAAAAAAAAATTTAAATTCGGAAACCGTAATAGGTTTCCATGCAAAAATAGTTACATTTTCTGTTTTCACCTGAATTCCGGGTTGGGCAGTGGATGGGGGAAGTAAGGGTGCTGCAGAATTTGTGGGCTGCCAATCAGGATTTGCAAGCACATCCAGAAGAACACTAGGGGTTCTATGGGCCTGTGTGCGAATTCTTGGTGGCTGCAGGACACTACACCGCACCAGCTTGTACTGCACTTATGGGACTTGCCACATCACCAAGTGATACTGCAGTGCTGGTATGTGAAAGACCAGGATGTACTAGGCTGCTGGTGCTTGCCAGTTCACCAAACGGTAGAGCAGCACTAGTACTGGCACTCTGCTGCAGATGAGAATCATCATGCAATTGTAACATCTCAGCAACCTGGGAATGGGGTCAGGTACGCCTGACCTTAGCAGGGTCCTCTACTCCATCTGTTAGGGTGCCGCTGCTGTCTACAGATTTGTATTCTGAGGCAGATTCTGTCAGTGAGGCTTCCTCTTTGCTCTCATCTGACATGCTCAGAATCCTGTAAGCTTCTTTACTAGAGTACCTTCCGTTGGACATTTTGGCAACTAAATTTATAGGTACCTAGTGTGACTCACGGGAAAAAGAGCACCTGGCTGTCAAGGAGTGCTTGAACCTCTACATAAAAATTTACCTGCAAGTGCTAACAGAAATCAGGCCTGATTCTGCAAACACTGCGGTTTTGTGTGCAATCTATTAAGTGACAGTGACTTACTGACACTGCACTTGCTAGGGAAGAAATGGGGGGGGGGGTTAAGCATAGGGGCGCTTTACTAGCAATGGAGAATTACTATGTATGTGAGCGTGTTCCTGGCAATCAAGGGGTTATATGTGATTACTGGTGTACTGACGGGCAATCTGGCACTATCTGGGAGGGGCGCTAACTGACGCTAACTGACACTAACACTATCTGAAGTTGCTGGTGACACTAATGCAGTGATCAGTAAAAAAAATCTGTACACTGTACTAATGACAGCGGTGACAGTGCAGTGAAGGGGTTAACTGGGGGGGGGACAATCAGGGGGTTAAATGTGTCCTAAAAAATGTTTTAACTGTAAAAGTGTACTGTTATATTCACATGGATATGCTTTCTTCTCTCTCTGGGATGGAATGTGCCCAGAGAGAGAAGATTGCATAATTTCCTGTACCTGTCTAAGTGTAAACGCAGGTACAGGAAGATCATTGATAGGGCAGGGATCAATCATCAGATCCAGGCCGAACATCACTGGCCTTAATCTTATGATTGATCTCTTGGGCACCGAATCACGGCTCGCCGGGTCGGCGGGAGCGCAAATCATGTATCTATACGTGATTTTGCGCACCTGTGCTGCCCTGTAGCAGTATTTCTGCTATAGGGCAGCATGGAAGCAGTTAATTTACAGTTTTTTTCACACACGCGTAAAACTTTTGCAACATTGCTGGTGGTCAGTGGAACATTGCCCATCTGTGCTGGTGGTCAGTGGAACATTGCTCCTCTGTGCTGGTGGTCAGTGGAACATTGCCCATCTGAACTGGTGGTCAGTGGAACATTGCCCCTCTGTGCTGGTGGTCAGTGGAACATTGCCCCTGTGCTGGTGGTCAGTGGAACATTGCCCCTCTGTGCTGATGGTCAGTGGAACATTGCCCCTCTGTGCTGATGGTCAGTGGAACATTGCCCCTCTGTGCTGATGGTCAGTGGAACATTGCCCCTCTGTGCTGATGGTCAGTGGAACATTGCCCCTCTGTGCTGGTGGTCAGTGGAACATTGCCCCTCTGTGCTGGTGGTCAGTGGAACATTGCCCCTCTGTGCTGATGGTCAGTGGAACATTGCCCCTCTGTGCTGATGGTCAGTGGAACATTGCCCCTCTGTGCTGGTGGTCAGTGGAACATTGCCCCTCTGTGCTGATGGTCAGTGGAACATTGACCCTCTATGCTGGTGGTCAGTGGAACATTGCCCCTCTGTGCTGGTGGTCAGATAATTTTAAGTCAATGAAAGCACTTGGGGATTGGAACTTACTTTGTTCCATCGTATGCTTGTGAGCAGCTGTTATCAGCTTTGAATTACTGTATATCAAATCTGAGACAAGAAAACAGACTAACAGATGACCTGAGTACTGCATGTGTTGCTCTCAAAATAATGAAGTATGAGCCACAATTTGACAAATTATCAGCATGTATACAGTAGCAAAGATCACATTAATTGTGCAAAAGCACACCAAATGCAAACTTTTCTTGGTCAATAAAAAGCTGCTTGTATCATTGAAAGCTCTGTTATTGTGTTTTTCAAATAATTTTTTAAAACAAAAGATGTTAATGTACGAGTTGATTTTCACCAGTATCCAGGTTTTCCAATTGCAGTGTTGGCACTATTGCGATAAATAAGTGGGTTTTGGGTCGCGATTTGGGCACTCTCTAAAAGGTTTCGGTATCACTGGTCTAGGTGATCACAACTGAAGTGGGAGCGGGTACCTATCAATTTTCAGGTAGCCCCCTCCCCCCCAAACGTGCAAATCCGGGAGACCAGTCCTTAAAGCGGAACTTCCCCATTTGGGTGGAGCTCCGCATTGATGTAAAAACAAAACAATGTGTACTCCACAAACATAGCTTAGCACACATAAATGTGCAACAAATATTTGCTCAAGTGTCAACAAAACAATCTTCTTTGTTTTCCCCAACATTTCAACCATAAATTAAAATCCTCCAGTGCTCAAAATCCAGTGCTTAAACTGTTACTAAACCCACAACAGTAAAGTCAGTCTGTATATGTAGTAAAGCATGCTTGTTTATACTCACTGTGGAACCTAATCCTCTGCATTGTGTAAAAATGCTGTTTGATCCTAACTTCTCTGCCCCTCCTCTTGTTCAAATGTCCATGTTGATAAGACAGATTGAACCCGTAGCCCTTCTGCACATGTCAGTTTTGAATGTATTGCTAGAGAGGTTTTTTTCTCTTGGGAGAGTGCATGTGATCAGCACAGGGCCAATCAGCACATCCAGACAGAGGTCAGAGGTTCTGCATCTTCCTAGAGCAGAAAGAAAACTTCTCCTACAAGCTATAACCAGTGCTCTGCTGGTGATAGAAGTCAGAAGACTGCTCTAACTGCTGATGAGAAAAGGTATTTAGCAGTTTATATTTACTAAAATAATTGCATTTTCATGTTCTGTGTACTGTGGGAGACCAGTTATAGTGAATGCAGGGTCCTGGGTTTAGTAACACTAATGGTTAATCCTCTTTAGTCTTATCCAGTTCATAACTGTGCTGTGGGTTTTTGTTTGTATCCTGAACAATTCTTCTGGCAGTTGTAGCTGCAATCTTTCTGGGTCTGCATGACCTTGGCTTGGTATAGAGAAATCTCAGAATTTTCCACTGCTTAATAAGGTATTGAACTATACTGACTGGTATATGCAAGGCTTTGGATATCTTTTTGCATATCCTTTTCCATCTTTAGAAAGTTCCATTACCTTGTTACACAGGTCTTTTGACGGTTATTTTCTGTTCCCCATGGTTCAATATCTAGCCTGCTCTGCATCTCCACAGGAGAGCTAATAAACTCATTGACTATTTATACACAGACACTAGTTGCAATTTAAAAAGCCACAGATGTGGGAAATGAACCTTTAATTGGCATTTTTAAAAAACCTGTGTGTGTCATCTTGTGTGTCTGCACCAAGGAGGGGATGGTGGTACAAACATTCAAGGATATGTAAGGGTGCGCCTAAATTTAGGGGATTCAGTGGTTCCAGAGGATGGGGAAGCTCTGGAGAGATTCCTGCAGTCGGGCGTGGGAGGTGGATCCAGGGAGCTAGAGAGTAGGAGGTCTTGCAATGAAGCAAAGATTACGGGTAGGGTGGTATTTGGGTATCAGGTCGGTGAGGTAGCCTGGGGAGCAGTCGCCATAAATGGCCATGAATGACACACACTCACCTGTCCCAGGGTCCGGCGATGTTCTCACCCGCGCCATCCCTTCTCTGCCTCTTCTCTCTCCAGTGCCAGCATCACGACTATGGACACCAGCCTGTGACAGCTTCTGGCTTCACAGCTGGGTGCCCACTGCACATGTGCGAGTCATGCTGCACATTCTAATTGGTCCGACAGTCTTCTGGGACCTGTTGAAGGAGACTGCGGGAGGAAGGAGGGGGCATAAATTTCTGGCTCACTTCGCTGCAGTGAACTGAGCTAGAAGTGGGAGCGGGTACTGTCAAAAACAGGTATCCGCTCCCCCCCAAAAGGGGTCAAATATGGCAGTGGAGGGGGGAGGAGGCAAACAATCGGAGCTTCCACTTTTTCCACTTTTAAATAAAAGACAATTTGTTGTATGATCAGTCATATTTTCAATATCGATGCCAATATTTCACAATTTCTGGCAGGGTTTTGAGCACAACTGTAAGTGTGAGAGTAGTCCCCACACTCTCTCTCTCTCTCTCTCTCTCTCTCTCTCTTTTGTGGTGTTATATATTCAAAATACCATTTGGTGCTCACATGAAATACGCACACAGTTCAGCTCTGACAATGTTTTTTTTATAGTGGAATAGTAAAGAACACATAAGGTGATTGTAAAGTATTAAAATTGAAGCTTGTATGATTTGGGTCAATGCCGACCACTAAATAGTGAATGTGAATAGGGTGAGCAAAGGAATCAGGGTGCCTAATGGTTTAATTGTGTACTTCTGAATAAAGACAGCCCCATATACAGCCAAGTTTACTAATTCAAATGTGCGCCTATGTGTATATCTTAATACAATTTCCCTTGGATGCTTCAAATGACTGTAACCTCCACTTCCTACTTGCACTCCTTCAATATTTAGTCATAATTAAAAACAAAATCTCAGAGAGCAAAGGAATACATAGCAAAGTGCTGAGCAAGGATCACCAATTAATGAATAATAAATATTTGGATGGTATGTGTTGATAACGCCTTCTCAATATGTTGTGACCAGCCAGGGGAAGAATTTGCCCTCATTTCATTTCCTCCTTCGTTATATATAAAAAGGCCCCATTGAAACCATTCAAACATCAAATTCTCTTCAGGCTTCTCAATTTTCCAAGAAGGCAAAGCAAACCTAAAAGCAGATATGTCTGGAGCCAAAAAATGCAGCAGCCAGAAGATCAAATGCCAAGATCCATGCAAGAACCCTTGCCAGAAAAACGTAGTCTGCAAAGATCCATGCCAAAACCGTAAGTGATTTATACATGCAATATCATTTTTATAAACAAATACATGTATTACTTAGGCTTTATATTCTACATTCTATTGTACAATTAATAATATTGCCATTTTCTATTAGGTGTGGATATATACAGTACTTATGTCAGTTGTCACTTATCAGTTACTTCAGTTTTAGCTGAATATTACTATTGGAGTGACTTTGTCATTAAATTCCAACTGCCAATGAAAGTGCCCCCTACATTGACGATTGTAAATAATTACCTCTGCTGCCTATGATGGCACTATAATGAACAGAAATCACAGCTTGAAGATTTAACAGAACCACATTTTTGGAGTAGATTCCTGGTCCCTCGTTGCACTCTGTGGTTCCTACCACCAACCCCCAGGTCACTATCATGTCCTGCAGTGATGTATGGGTCAATAGAAGAAACCACTGAGCCCAGCAAGGGGGGGGGGGAAATGAGGGCAGAAAATCTAAAATTCCCTTTTTAGGCAGTGATTTCTCTACATTAGTTTTTGATGGCATGGGCAATACAAGAGGAAGTATTCATTATAATCTTCTTTTCAGGGGATACTTTATTTGGCATTTTGATTGTTAATGACAGAGTGGCCTCTTTAATTATCATACAAAATGTTTTTTTCCAGTACTTATTGTACTCTACACTATAATAGCTTCTACAAATTATCAGAGGATAAATCAGATTGTAGAGATATGGAAAAAATATACATGTTATATAGAACTAAATTCTAATTTCTGACTGGAGTTTACCATAAACATGTGAAATTGTGGCCAGATATTCTGACTTCACTTCCCACTTGCTTTTGTATCTTTACAACACAGGGTTAGATACACAACACAGAATCATGTCATTGTCATTCAGAAATTAGGTACCATTCACCCCAAAAAGCCAAGGGTAATCAGTCACCCCAGGTGAACATACATAAAGCACTGAAAGTACCAGGGGTGGTACACCCCCCCCCAGGTAAATGGTCAGTGTGAAGTGTTTCTTGTGCTGCTGGCTGTTGTTTTATTTGAAATCCTCTATGGTCTGATACCCTTCTACCCCTGCAGCTATAATCTTCCATTACCACAGGGTTAATACAAGCTGAGGGACCTGTCATATGCACCAGTCAAGATGCATTTTTTATATATTACAAAATATATGAAAAATATTTTTAAAAATACATTTTCAAATATACTGTATGTCTTTAAAAATACATTAATCTACATTTTTGGAATGCATTTACAAATACATGTAAAAACATATGTTAAAATGACTTTTTTATATGGTTAAAAAAAAATCTGAAGAATATATTTAAAAACAAATTGTTTTAAAAATATTTTTCATATATTTTGTAATAAAAAAAACACATTTCATTTTATATAGTGTGGCTTTTTCTTTATAATATATATATATATATATATATATATGGACTCTAATACGGCCAAAATGATTCAGTATTTCAAATATATGTCAATATATTTTGGAAGAATATTTTAAATATATATTTAAAATATATTTTTCTTCCAACTGATTTGCCACAAGCTTGTTGGCTGATTAATGTTTTGCCTGTGAAGAATCATCAGAGTGTGGCTTTTTCTTTCTTTGGACTCCATACCAGCCTCTGTAGCACTTGTTTGTGCATTTTTTTTGACTCTACCAAGTGAACTCTACCACAATTGCAATTTTTGATTGATAGCATTGCTGTTAATTGCTGTCTGGATTTTTTCTTTAATGTATGTTTGTTTGTTTGTTTTTTTCAGCATGTAAACCTCAGGGTCAACGTGGCAACTGTTCGCCAACAAGGTAAAGAAGAGAGAGACATGATTGCCATAAATATCAATGAATGATATATATAATACTTGTTTGGTATAGTGTGCACCACATGCCATATATTTATTCCCCTCTATTTTCATAGCTGCCATTATATTTGGGCAATTCCCTTTAATAAAAATGTGAGGGAGGGTCTAAAGTGAGAGGCAGCAGTTCTGCAAGCCATCCTGATCCATCTGGCGGCTTTGCCTCACAGGTACAGACCACTGCTATCCCTATGGCTGGTCTACAGAGCTCTGCAGTGTAGACTGTTTTAAAAAAAAATGTATTTGCTGTCAACAGCACCACTTGCAGTCTCTGCCTACAGAGTATCAGCCATTTTAAAACTCAATTATTTAGGTACCACACACATGAGGAGGAAACACATGACTCTGCACCACAGAGCTCAGTGGGAGCAGCACTTTAATAGGATGTGCTAGCAACCAAAGGCCCTCAATACTTCTCTTATTTATTCCTTACATCATGCATGCTGAGGTAGAGGCATCAGGAGGCAGAAGAGGAATACTTGAAGGAGGAGGGTTGGTGTTCTGAAATTGAGGAGAAGGAAATGGGGCAGGCTTCAAGGAGGACATTTCCCCGCTCCTTAACCCTGGGAGTTGTCTGTAGGTGAAGTGAAATTGTTGAGGACAGTGCTGTTTCTAGTGACACTGACGACTCAGGGTTCTTTGTTGCAAGAAATCTGTGGAAAACTGGTCCTTTTATGCTCAAATACCTGTAGGAGGACACTAAGTTCAGGTCATCAAAGATGGGGACCCCTGAAACCAATGCTTCAGACTAAACATTTGTCATCCAGACCCCTCCAAACAAATGATGATACCTGCCATCACAATAGCTCCTGCCACCTCTCCTGGTCTGTTCCAGTACTCTGGCACTTTATAGGTGCCACATAATGTGTTTTCTACTGGACCTTAGTTGACCAATTTTTAATGTTTGCTGCAAGGAAAATCCTGGGAGCATCTCAAAGATTGCATCCTATTCCAGTACCCAGGCACTGAAAATGTGCCTCACAACATTTTTCACAGATAGATCTCAACTGCGGAACTTCTAATAATCCTGGGTCTCTCAGACACAGGATGTCTAAAAACTTGACAGGAGTTATAACCCCCCCTTATTCTCTTTCCAAAATGAAAAAAAAATTTTGCTTTCATTGTACTTTAAGTGGAATCTAGTCCTTTTAGAAATGCAACATACTACCACT